TCAACCATGTATAGCTGTATATTTCCTTTGTTTATAAACCTTGTACAATATCTTATTGTTGCAACAGTTTTGTGATACTCATAAGTTGTATATAGTAGATTTGTAAACTGTGAAACCCATATGATGTTCCATGAAATTAAGCTCCATGGCACATGGTTTGATATATGTATATATATATAATCATCAGGCAAGTTAATGTGTAGTATCAGTATGGCATAATTGGTTGCTATTTTCTTGACATATCATATCTTCCCTATTAAACTATCAAAAATTGAAATTTCATTATGCTTTCTGGGAAGTAATGATTAATGACATTGGTCGTATTTTTGCAAAATGTATACAAATATTCGTTTGAATTGTACATTATTTTAAATATTTTAAAGTTTTTTCAGTTTGAAGATATGACTGTAGTCTGAACTCCTTAGTACCATGAGACTGATAAAAAAATATATATTTGTTTCAGGTTTTGATCCATTCAACCCTCACCATGAGTGCTGATGCCAATTCAGTTCGTAATGATCTCATAAAACTGCTCCACAAGCATGTTCCTGGAGCAGATATAAGGTAAAGAAATTACTAGAGCATGGAAATATTATACAGAAATTGTGTTTTTTATGATTCATAATACAGCCCTTCAAAACAAAGTTTGCATTCAGTATTACCAACCAGCTGCGAGCCTGGGTCAGCAAATTTTTGCCAACCTGAAATATCAAGTGATCGAGGAAAGCAAGTTTAGAATCAATTTTCACTTTCATGTGATTCATTTCCAAATACTTTCAGAGCATTGTGGTCATATTATAATTATTTGCTAATACAAAAATTGATATGGCAGCATAACAGAAAAACAATCTCAGGCATTTCACTAACAGTTATTCAAAACAATTTTTTCAAGGGGTGATAAAGCTTAATTTAATTTGACATAATATTTGTCTTTGTTTGTTTCATAATAATCCAGCAATAATGTATCTGTCTGTCTTGATGTATATATATCTTTATACTACTGGTTCACCTTTATTTGTTCACTTTGCAGTGGCATAGATGAGATAGTGATCAGCTATGTGACAGGTGTGTTGGAGGAAGTGGCAGCAGATGCTGAAGAAGTGGACTCAGCAAGCATGAAGGATGTGATCAGTGCATATGTACCAGCTTTCGATGTCATCTCCGAAGACATTCTGACAGCTTGGGTACTGGACATGGTGCAGGGGATAAATGATGAAAAAGAAAAAGGTGCTAATTATGATTGTTTAAGGGCTATTTTATCTGTCATAGTTTTATAATGCTTCATGCTACAGTACCATTGAATTTCTGGCATTGCATGTATGAATATAATCTGATTAACAATTTTAACTGACGTATGATATTGCCAAGATTGATATTTCTGTTGTCACGTTTTTTATGTCAAATGATATGTTCTGTGATGTTATTTCTTTGATCAATAAGTCATGATGTTTACAGTTTTAGTTTTTCACATTTGTATTTATAGTCCAAAGGAGAAAATATTTTTACTACAAAAAATTACTTAAAGTCACACATAACTGAGGTCGTTGTTTTACCTTTCAGCCAAAACAGCATGTGATGTCACTTTGGACAATCTTATATCGTCATTCCCCGTTGAGACACGCAAACTCTCACAGTCCAAGAGTGAGTCAAGTGAAAGATCTCAGAAGCTTTCAGAGACATCCAATGGATCAGAGGAGCAAGATACTGGCAGTACAAATGGTGAAGAGGTAATTATGAAGTATTTCTCTAAGACAAAAATATTTTTGAACATCAACAATGTCCATGTGGCTTTGTATTGCTTTATGAATTGATACACAGGTTTGCTTATGTTTAGCAGTTCATAGTTTCTCTATAAGGTATATAAATGTATTTAGAGAATGAGAAAGATTTTAAGGTCCTTTGTTAGAATTAGTGATATCATTACAAGGCATGAACAGTTTTCACATTTGTTCAGCTCTTGATTACCAATGGTAGTTCATCGTGCATCTTTGTTTCTTTCTTTGATGCACAATTTTTTATATGTTGTATTTAACTGCATATAAGACATACATTTAGAAATTAATGCTTCAAAAAATCATCCCAGGCCTTATATAGAAAGGTGCAGACAACAATGTTTATTCCTGAATATGTCCTGCTGGGACGTGGTTTGCATCTTGTGCACCAGTGCATCCTCATGCTGTAAGATATTATAATGTCATACAATGAACTTGATAAATCTGCTTTTGCACTGATGTTTTAAGTGATATAATAGTAAAAATAATTTCTTAGAAAATGACCCAAAATAGATGCTAAAGACATAGACTCAGTGCTTTACCTGACTGAAACTTGACTCGAGTCTGAGATTATTGCCATTTTGGCTGGGCCAGAGCACACTATATGGGGAGCTAGATTCCTGCCCCATAAGGTCTCTCTTTTTTAAGCTGTCATTATTTGTAGAAGTTTATCAAACATTAGTATGCAGTTATTGCAATAGTAACCTACTTATGATGGCAACTCTTGGCTCTGGTATAAATGATTGTGTAGATAATGAGGCTTTAAAACTATTGAGGGTCTATTTCTCCTTAGCAACCAAGATTTTTAGGTAATGTTTCTCTTCTGTGACTGCAGCTAAAGCCAAACAAGCACCCAAGTGTTTAGCCATGTACAACTTACAGCAGTCACATCTATGCATGACGTGAAGACATTGTCCTGGCTTGAGGAATAATTTATCATGACTTGATAAGGTGTTGTCCTATTAGGAATGGATTAAAAACCTTTTGAAGCCAGCTTAGGCATTCCAATATCAAGGGAACTGCCATTATTATGTATACAAAATGTCAGGCTAGGTGGATGGAAGTGGCTCTAGGACCAGGGTAGAGTCTAGCAAGTGGAACCTGGGTTTTAATGATGATATTTTGGTTTAAATTATTATATGAAATGGTGAACAAAACTGCAAAGGGATTAAACAGATATGTGTACTTTTCAGTACTGACTGATTGTGTTGTAATGGGGTGAAACAACAACTGCAAAGGGATTAAACACAAAAACAAGATATAGAAATTCACATTATATCACGTTAACTCGACTCAGATATAGATAGTATGTAATGAGCACAATATGATAGAAGCATAGATTTTTGATTAACCCCAATGAATGGTATAGATACTCCATAACGACACATTACCCAATGACTGCAAAAACCAGAAAATTAGGGGTATTAGGATAGTTACAAAAACAAAAGTGGACTGCTCATGCTAGGTAGTGCGCCACTTAGATAGCCAAAGGTATCATGACAAACACATTGGTGTCGTCCAAAAAAAAGAGTGCAATAACACTTGATGCCTCTCTTTTTAGCAATGTATTTTTCTCTTTTTAAACCTTGAACAAGCGTTTTTTAGCTTTAATTTATACCCATGTTCTCATGTCCAAGTATTTGTACATTGGATTTGCTTTGTCAGATCAGGTGAAAATACGAAATTTCTACCTCAAGACTCCACATAATCATTCCAATTCCTCACCGGTAGTACCATAAAAACTAAGTGTAAGAACAAACAAAACAATAAATGATAACCTTTAATATTGTCACAACTCTTAGTATAATAAAATCACAATAACTTATATATATATTATATAAATACTAACTAACTACCTACATACCCCCTACTAAACATCCTCATAAATAATATCCTAACCCTACTATATATGATAATAAAATATATATGGTTATAATATAATTTTCTAATAATCAACTCCAATTTGCTCCATCATTCAACCACCATTATATTATAACATAACCATAAACATATATAATACCCATATATTAATACATAAAAAATATAATCATAATATAAACTAATGTATATACTTATATATAAATAAATATATATATTATATGTATAATATAACAATAAAATATATATTGAAACATATAAATATACTGCTAATAATGAATAAATATATGATATATATATATGTATAATATATATATGCTCACCATATATATATGTTATTAGTATAATCCCACTAATTAAAACACAATAAAATATATATATATTATATATTAAACCAACCATAATTAATAATTATATAATACAATACTCCATATATATGAAAAAAAAATAATATATAATAATATACAATACTGAACCTCCCATCAATATTAATAAACTAAATAAAATAACACATTATATATAATATAATAATACATATAACCAAAATATATAAATTTTTTCTTATTTCTTTTCTTTTCTTTCTTTTCTTTTCCTTGTTTTCCTTACTTCTTCTTTACTTTTTCTAATAAATTCTTTTTCTTTTACTTTTCCTTAGAATTATCCTTTGCGTGATACACATATATACTTAAATATAACTATTCTTCTTTCCTATTCTTTTCTTATCTTTTTTCCATAGGTAATCCCACACTATTCTATCATCCGTAGTAAAACCACACCTAGCTCTGCAAAGAGTATCACACGAAGTCGCTCCCGGCCAAATGGATACCCCCATGAAAAATGGAAAATGGCATCACCCCGAGCGCGATGGACCCAAAAAGCCAAAGGCAACTTCTCCCAGTCCATGATGCGGGAACATGGACCACTAGCTACAGTAATTCAAACCAACCCACTATTTTCGAAATACCCAAAACCAAATCAAGATCAACAAAGAAAAAAACAACATTTTTTAAAACCCATGCAACCAAAGAACCAAGGTTGCCTACTTGTGGCAGAAAGCGATCATATTTTCGTACATAAAACTTAGGGAATTTATTCCATGATTTGATGCAGACCAAATCATTATTCAACCTATTTTGAAACTCCTAGAAATAGTAGGTAATTTATCTTTCAAATAGATGTTGAAGACGACCGATAAAACTCATAAAGAATGAAATACATTATCCCCTCACCTCTCCACCTCATTAGGATAAGAACTAAAAGTAAAACAGAAGAACAAACAATCCGAAAAAATACAGTGTATTCAAAACCATCCAAAAGAACTCTGAATACCAATCCCCTAAAGTGATTTAGCATTTTATTCTTCGACATATCTTTTTTTTTAATTCATCTATATTGGGTATGAAACTACTCCATGTATAATTTGTTTGAATGTAACCTTCTAATCCTTGCTAGATAGCCTCTTTGATGACCAAATTATTTACTTCATGTTTATCTACACATGACACTGTGCACATGAGATTCCAAAGGTACTTCACTTACACAATTAATATTATCACCCCACAAAAAACGCACCTAAGAATGAATACTCACTTACACATTCTTTTCCCAACAGCATGATGAATACTCTGAAGGTCTGGCCACCTTGCTTGAGATGTTCCCAGGAGCTTGTAATCTCGAGGTCCAGCACTGCTTGGCCAGCTGTGGAGGGGACTTGGAGCAAGCCACAACACTCATTTTGCAACGGCAGGAGCAAGGAATAAGTATCAAGGCTACACCAGGCAGTAAGGTAAGTCCTGTATAGTAAGTCATGAAGATTTTGGGGATGCTTTAACCCATTCACGATGGGTAAATTTTGAGATAAGCTTTTAAACCCAATAATCACCGATGGGTACATCTTCATGTAGAACCAACAACAATAAGATTATTCCGCAGTGGCTACAAAAATCCAGTGGACCGCACCAGAGCTTCCCCAGATCTGTCCGCCCCGGCCGCAGACTCCGCTGCGCGTCCAAGAAACGCAAGGAGCAATAGAAATAGAAACGCCATTTTCACACTGGCTGGATGCCCGGCATATGTATTATTTATATATCTCGGATGTATCATAATAGGGCCCAAAGCCTCGTGCGAAAAAACAAGAATATAAGCGAAACTACAAGAGAAATATATAAATGCCGTAGTAAGAGAGAGTGATTGACGTCAGCCGCTCAAAGAATACGCGATACGGACTAGATGCATTCCAGATTACAAGGAGAATTATATTAATTATCCCTCTTTTGATCATAAAGCTAGACCCAAAAAAAAGGATAAGACTCATAGAAATTCCGAGAATGTCAAAATAGCATAGAAAAGAAACAAATAATAACCGTCACAAATCGAAAGACCAAATCCCGGTTCGCTGACTGAATATTTGCATAATGCGAACCCCTTTGGAACCTGAAAACCTTACCCGAGGAGATACAACAGTTCCCATAGGAGTCTATGTGATCATATGAAAACAAAATCTTTCAAATGTCAAGCATTTTAATACACGGAGAGCGATAACCAGTATCCCCACAAAAGAAAATGTAGAGTTACATCCAATCATAAAATCTTAAGAACAGACCCAAAACAACCTTGACAATCCGAAGCAATTCTTGCAATAAGGCAAATGATTTGCAAGCCTATAGGCAACAGAAAGGTTGATCTTAATAATATTTTTAAAAAAACCGGAAATCAAATTTGGAAAATCTATATAATCATCATACTCTATATCATCCTTAATGGGTCATAAAATTTTCACTCACTAGCTTTACCATATACTTTCCTGAAATTCTTCCTCATGTACATTCTCTACCGTATTCTTCTAATCTGAATACAACATCGCCTATGTCCTCACTCCCATACCTAACCTACCACTTCCCTACCATGCCACTCTACCCCACTCATCACATGCTTCCTCTCTCCTCCTCTTACCACTCCTCCTAGCAACAAAAACCACTCCTACCCTACCTACCTACACCTCCTGCCTCCTCCTCCTCTTTCATGGTTTGTCATACTCTGTTTTATAAATTTATATTCTTCTCTTTTTTTCTTACATTTTTTTCTTTTTTTCTAATAGCTTGTTCCAGGGGCCAAAGGGAACAAAAAGAAGATAGATGACAAAGAAGTTCGAATCTCCATCATCAATCGCTATGGATTTGTCGATCACGATGATGATGCTCGTGAGCATAGGCCTGTTGCACCTAAGTGGGTAAGTATTATGTGGGGTACTGGATTCATTTCATGTTGTAATCAGACATCACTCATTCTATAATGGTGTCAGACTTCATTCATTTCTTAAAGGTACCAGTTTTCATTTAGTCATGTTAGTATCAGATATTATTCATTTTAGTGTATGGATTATAGAGAATCATTCATTTTATAATGGTATCCAGCTTAAGTAAATATATTGTATCAGTATTGAATTTCATTTGTGGCATATTTATGTTAGATTTCATTGATTTGATAATTATGTCTTTTTGTTGAAGTTATTTTTTAACGCTTATTTAGTAACATTATGGTTATGGGAGGAGTGTGTACATGAAGAATACTAGAATATTTTCAGAGTTTAATTTTTTTTTTTATTGATATGTTAGCTTTTCTTCAAGTTTCTTTTAAGATGCAGTTTGTTTAGTTTCATTTTAGAGAAACATTTGGATGAATGTGAAGTGTTTCATAGCATTATTTACTATTTTCCCCTTTTTTTTTTTTTTTCTTCCTTTCTTTCTTTCTTTCATGATATATCACAATTTTTAAAGATTTTCATTGTATCTTTTACGAGAGCTTCATCATTATTGAAAGCCTTTGAAGCTATATGATAATCCACAATAGCTAAATATTATAACTCACCCTTGTTCTCACAGGAAGGGAAGAAGATGGTGCGCTACCGTGATAACAAGGTTGTGAGCCTCAAGGGAGAAAGGTACACGGAGTTCAAGAAGGATGAGACGGCTGAGATGAAGAAGACATATGTGCACCTCAAACCGGGCAAGCAGTATCGATTCCACTGATCCACAGGGTACAAACCTTACTACATTGCCGCTGTCCAGTGTCACCAGGGCGAGGGGTCGAGGGATGGTGTGGGCCAGGGCGGTAAGGTTTGTTTTTGTAATCAACACCAGAGTTATTTATGTTACGCGATAAGGCCGCAGCTTGAGGGCGAGTACAGACTTGCGAGAGCCTTGAGTGACGTGATGCTGTTGGTGGGTTCAGTGGAACTTTTAGCATATAATCTCATGAGAATTCTCATCACTCTTCATTGTTGTTCATTAGTGTTATTATGTAGTTACTGCTTCAGTGTCAGTAATTGTATTTTAGTGTGTGAATTGCTTATTAGGTACCAAAGAAGACATAGGTTATTAATTGAGGCACTTTACAGCCAGAATAGGAAAGTGGTTAAAAAGAAATACTCAGAATTATATAGAATATCCTGCGAAAGATTCTTGAAGCCATACTCGAATAGGGTGGAGCTTGCACTGCAGCGTGCAATACTGTGCGATATAACAAGATTTAACCATGACACACTAGACTCTGTCATTAGTCATAAAGATTTTATTATATTACAATACTTATGGTATATGATTTTTACAAATTGGAAAACTGGTAGGTTATTTTCATATGTAGGCGAGCTTGTTCATAATGACTCCAATAAAACCATAATATATAGCGGAAGGAAAGATCTGTGCAGTTTTTTATATCTTTATTGTAGAGTAGCTTTATTCTCGGATGAATTAAAAACGGTTGATGATTGTAAATGGACAACAGTCAATAGGTATATGTGCAGCTCCCTCAACACTGCACGGGTGGTAAGAATACCTCAAACTATCTATAGTTTATTAGATGTAAATGCAGAATTCGCAGTTCCTGCATTAAAGAGATGAATTTGCATAATCAGAAAAGCAATAGCAAAGACCAAGCAAATATGTGTTTGTTTATGAATTATGTAGTTACCAGTAAATATAGTTTGAAAATTATTAGTCAGGCATTCTTGTTATTCCAATGAATTGGTTTGGGATCATGTTTTTTGGACCATTTTAAAGGATTTTATCCTCTTTTTTTATTAGGTTACAATTTTCCTACACATATGCAAGTATTTGTATATGTACTCTTCCATAGTAAATGGAATCAATTAAGTTTCTTCTACCTAGTCTATGTATTTAGCTGTGGCATATCCTATGATTACTTTCTCTTTCCATTATTATTAGATATAATAGCAGCATTACAGATATGTAGTATTCTTTAGACAGCAGACTTTTCTCAGACTTTCTTGACCACAGCCCATTTCTCTGGCAATGGAGTGATAATCACGTTATCATTTGATATTAACCCTTAAGGACTGGCAACCTCAGTAGCCAGAAATTGCTCAAATAAGCACAAAATCAAGTGATATTCAAATGGTAATAACATTTGCATTACTTCAAGAAATCTAAAGTGAGGGACATATTACATTCATCATAGACTAGAGGGCCTTAAAAAAGGCAAACTAGAAAGCAATCAGAATTGTGTGTGAGAAAAGGCATGTCGACATAAACATCCATTTTGCCTTTGTGCCAAGTAGGTATTTTAAACCAATCCAGGCCATGAGGGTTAAGGCACATTAGTTTTATACAAGAAGTTTTCATTTTTTATGATAAGGTAAGAAGTCTCGGGCATTAGATACAGATTTATGTTTCTTTCTTGATAATACTGATGATGATGATGATGATGATTATCAACTTCATTGTTAAAAAAAAATCCTATAAAAGGTATCCTCTATTCACAGAGTTTAATTAAAGTTGGTTGTTTCCTTTCCTGGTAGTACCCTTACCATACTGCTGAAAGGGAGGGCTAGGATAGGATGATGATAGTTATAGTTCTTAAATAATTATACAATGGTCAAGGTTTTAAAAGACAGTCTTCCCAAATTGAAATATCTTCATGTAACAATAGTTTTTTTTAAATCTTGGCATGTTAGTTTCCAAATTTTTGTTAGAATCTCATGAGCAGTTTAGCTTTTCACAGAATATTTATATATATTGATATTTTAGAAACCTATTTCTATGCCATGGTACTTTGATATGTCATTTCAGAATCTTGCTTACTCAGCAAGGTGTCTATGAATTTAGGTTTTGGAGTGAGTTACAAATTTCCTTCTTCTCTCTTCTCTCTCCTCTTCCTCCTTATCCCCATCCTGCTTTTATTTATATTACACTATGATAGAGAGATTCATTTACATCTTTGGTTGGACAATTTTCATTTTGGTTCAGCTGTAATGGTAATCTAGACCTTGAAAATTACCCTAAGGATGTTGCTTTAAGTTAATGTTACTCTTAGTTTCTTTAACAAGTTTATGTATACTTGTTTGTGGACCTGGTCTGAATCTCCATAAGGGCATTGCTTTTTAACAATTTTTTTCTTCTTTAGAAGACCACAAATGTGTAACAAAAATATTGGTCTTTCCAAAGAAAGCCATGTAAAGGAGTAAGATATATTCATATAAACCTGCAGGTTTGATAAAACAGGTTTTATTTTGTTACTGAAATTTAGACATTCCAATTTCTTGTATGTCTTTGGCAATTGATGTTAGATTTTGTGTAGTGCATATTATTGTGAGGGACAAATTAAATGTCATGAGAAGGAAAATATAATCAGCAGCTATTTTGGGAATGAAGTGTCTTAATTGAACTTCAAGCTATGTACCTGTTTTGTCATGTTGGAATTCAGTATTATAGCTGTATCACAGTGTATGTGGTTTAGTTGAAGATTACACATGATCAGGATATGTTTAGCGAGAGGCGATAATCTACTATTCTTGCAGATTATGGCATTGATTGGCTTGTTGATAATTTACTAAATAATTGGCTATTTAAATTTCCTTTGTTGTTTGTGGTCTCTTGTAGATGGTGAGACAAAGTAGTATGTATTTATTTTTTTCTGTCTCTTTACTTTACTTCTTCATATTAATGCACAGTGACAGGATAGTGAATCTACTAATTCCACTTATTAACTCTTTCCAAAAGATAGCTGTCTTATTAGTATAACCCTCTACTTAGATCAGTGTTGTTTTAGTAATAGGTAGCTTTCTCGCAGCTTCTTTAGTTAGTTAAGACTTTATAGAACATATTTATTTTTTATATTTTGCTGCTGTACAAAATATTATATGTTTGTATGTTAATCCTTGGATTTTTATTTTGCTTGTGTTATAGCTAAGAGAATGTGCAAATGTTGACCAGAAAAGTAAGCTTACATACGGGACAGGGATAACTTGAGAATAAGTGCACATGTACCATTTCTACGGGAAGAAGGGCTATGGCTTTTCCGTGTCTCTTGACTATATAACTGGCACTGGCTTTACCTAATACACTTACTTTAACATAAACTGATATTATGAATTGCTTCTTCATATATTTCTTTGGCTTCAAAGAATTTTTGGAGATCTTTCAGACTGAGAAGTTTATGGCTAAGTGAGTTTTATGGTTGTTGAAGTGACTTCCTGATTCAGTAAACAGGTTTTTCAAAGCATTCCTGCTGTACACTAGACCAGCTAACTTTACAAATGGAATATAGAATGTGTTCAGTTAGTTCATGTGTCAAATCAAAGCTTTTGCCATATTCCTACTTTTTATCTCAGCATTTCTTGTGAACAATTACAGACATGGCTGCTAGAACATGCATTGTGCTTTGAATGTCTTGTAAGGACTTTTGGTGTGATTAGGTTTCATTTTTGTCTAGTTTATTTTGATATGAACCCTTGTATGTTGGTGTGAGTTTTCATAAAGGAATATATATATATATATTTTTACACTTTTGAAGTTTTTCAGGATAAGGACTTTCATCACAGAAAGGTTTTTTCCTTCTTTTTTTAATTTTGTTAATTCCAATATTCATAGATGTCCTTTTGAAACAATACACAGTAATTTGTAATAATCCAATTTCTGAGACGATTGTCCATGCAATAATATGATAGGAATTTATCAATGCTTTTAATCTTATGATGATCAGTTACTACAGAGTGATAATGAGCACAACAGGAAATGGAATGGTTGTACTTATCTCTTTTTTCCCCCCAAGAAGTATGTACTGGTTGCAGTGATTTTTCCCATTTTCTTTACTTTCAAGATCTCATAGGAGAGAAATTTATTGTTTTAGATTTTTTTCCAGTTTGGAAAGACACAAGTACATATTACTTAAGGTTTCATTTGTTTTTGGATCTGATGAAATAAAAGTGTATGTAAGGTAGATGTTCAGGTTTCTACTTTTGTCTCTTCCTTATAGAAATTTCATTGTAAATCTTTATGTGATCTATAAATCGTCTTTGCTTATTATGTGTGGCTAATAAATGAGAAAAGATACTACGTCACTTTATTTTATTTCAAGTTTGGATGTCTGTGTTAGTGTGTGATGGCACTTTTCATTCTTATTGTGTTGCTGTGTTTCATCATGAATGCAATATGTAACCAGTTTTATAAAATATGTTATAAATTAAGTGCAACCACAACTGAATATTGACATCCATCCTAAGTGAATCCATTATTTAAAACATTAGTTCTATGTTCTTTCTTTCTCTTATGACACAGAAGTGTATAGGCAGAATATTATTATACAGATTAAAAAGTCGTTAAGATAACTTAGAGAAGAAAGTTAATGGAATAAGGGACAGGAAATTGTATCCCTATTCATGATGTTGAATTAATGAAGATGATAATTAATAAAAACTACAGAAACTTAAGTAGGCACTCATTACTAAGATAAGAAACAAGAATAAAAAGTAACGCTAGAATGGCTCTCAAGATATAATAAAAAAATTCTTCAGAGAACTAAAACAAAATATTGGATTGTTGAATTAGAACTATGTAATGAAGTTTTTAGATATTCAATCTCAACTCTTTTATTTTGAAAGAAAGTAGTGAAATGTGCATAAGAACCAGTAACTACTGAAAATATAAATACCTGTTAAGAGCTAGATATGAGGAATGATAATTGAATAATGATAAGAAATAAAAGAAAAAACAAGGACTCAAATATGCCAATGTGGAAAATTCAATGAATTGCCTTAACAGATACTGTTAAAGATTTTGTAAATATTTTAATACTGTATTTTTACTAGTATTGAACTTTTTCTAAGAGAAAGTTCATATAGATGATAATATTCCCATAGTTCTGGGAATATAGCTCATGGAAAAATAAATCTGTAGGCAGTTAATATAATGTCCAGAGTATATATATATATATATATATAATATATTATATATATATATATATATATATATATATATATATATATATATATATTTAGTTTCACCACCTGAAGTTACATCATTTTCCTCTTGTGTCCAAAGCTAAACATCTTATCTGGGAAGGAGATATTCTTTCAACTTTTGTGAAATGACAATTTAGGAACAGTCTGTAGAATCACTTAGCATATATCATCTGTATTAAATTTACTTTAAAATCATTCTTATGTTCATGCAGTTAGCTCTCCTGTACAAGTGTTCTGGGTGTAAATCACAGTGGAGCTATTTACATATATATATATTATATAGAGAGAGAGAGAGAGAGAGAGAGAGAGAGAGTGAGTGAGTGAGTGAGTGAGTGAGTGAGTGAGTGAGTGAGTGAGTGAGTGAGTGAGTGAGTGAGTGAGTGAGAGAGAGAGAGAGAGTGAGTGAGTGAGTGAGAGTGAGTGAGTGAGTGAGTGAGTGAGTGAGTGAGTGAGTGAGTGAGTGAGTGAGTGAGTGAGTGAGTGAGTGAGTGAGTGAGTGAGTGAGTTCATGGAAAAATAAATCTGTATATATATATATATTTATATTTATATTTATATATGTAAATAGCTCCCACTGTGATTTACACCCAGAACACTTTGTACAGGAGAGCTAACTGCATGAACATAAGAATGATTTTAAAGTAAATTTAATACAGATGATATATGCTAAGTGATTCTACAGACTGTTCCTAAATTGTCATTTCACAAAAGTTGAAAGAACATCTCATCTCCAGATAAGATGTTTAGCTTTGGACACAAGAGGAAAATGATGTTACTTCAGGTGGTGAAACTATTGTGCAAAAACAATGCAGAGAGTTGGTATGCTCACAGTAGATTGAATGCTGTAAAAATGTCTCTGTCTCCGACAAAGTGCACTTGGGTGTCCAAAAGAAAAGGCCAAGATGATGATAAAAGAAACAGGATTGGGGAAAAAAATGTTTATCTCGAGGCCAAACTGTATTAGATGTACCTTCCTCATGTAATGTTTGAGCTATTTCATTCTGAAATGATATTTGGCTATCAAAGTGTGGGAATATAATGCCAATTTGATCACTTTTTGATAGTTCATTTCTGTTCCTTTCAAGCCAAAGCAGTGTTCAGCAGAAGTGGTATTTAGTTTCAGAAGTCAGTTGTTAGCCTAGACAAATATAAAGCCAAAGTTTAAACCATATAGTTTCAGAGTTAAAGCCCCAGTAATACAAGCATCTTGTGGCCTGCAAGGCATATAGGTAAGTTATATTTGATATATCTCATGTTTGGCATGGGAGTAGTTAGCACACTCGACTGGTAAGAACACTCAATGAGTTGCAGTTTGATTGTAAAAGAATTAATTTTTCGTTCTTTTGATCTGTGAATATTTTCATCACAAAAATACCCCACTGCAGAGTATTGTGTTGTCAGTTTGCTGGTTAGAAAAGGAATACCATTTTCTTCCTACTTTTACTTTATTGTTCTTATTGTTATTACTATTAAAGTCACTCTTAGTATTATTAATATCAAATTCATTATTATCCTTATTATTATTGTTATGGCTCTTATGTATCATTGTGATTATTACTCTTGTTATTTTGATGATGATGATCATGGTCCAAAGTTTGCTTGGAATGGCCAAAGTTAGCTGTAATTTAGTAATAGCTACATATTTTTATCCCAAATTCATTACTTGTCTAAAGTTACATCTCAAGGGTAACTTTGGAAGATTATGGTTTTCTGACAGCATTTGCATTATTTCAACTTTATTGTTTATCTGGGTTCCTTGCCTTCACAAACCAAAAAACTGGCCAAAAATATTAAGTTAGTAAAATTGTACTTAGATGTTATTTTTAAAACCTTCCAGCCTTCAAAAACACTTATAAAACCTTAAAAACACTTATAAAGTCACTACTAGGGGAGGAGTCGACACAAAGAAATTTGTCCTCATTTACATCATTTTGGGAGGGATGGCAGTGATGATTATCTTTCATTAATGGCTACTGTGTTCAACTAAATCAGTATACTATAAAATTAATGTTTGATTTTTTTCAGTTCATTTTCTTTTTTTTATCTATATAAAAATATTGAATGTATTTCTTAAGATGGGGAGCAATAAAAGATAAAAAGGATTATAAAGTAAAATTATGACAATTTTTTTTTATTATATATATACAAATTCTTGATATTTGGTAATGTGCAGCTTTCAATTAGCTTCTCCAAGTTTCCCATGTTCCACCCCAAAGTTTATATGGGGGAAGGGGGGTCCCACAAATAAAGTTGTGCTCTAAAATCATGGGGTTTTGCATTTTTCTGAGCACTTTTTTAAACTAGACCTTTGAGATATCGTATGAGGAATTAGTTTACATTTGGGGGGGAGAGGCTTGTTGAAAATTAAAATCATAATGGACTCATATCATTTTGTTAAGAAGAAGAAGAAGAAAAAAAACAAAACAAGGGAGGGAGGAAATTCTTATGGCCAGCTTGTTAAATTTGTGCGAGGCCAAACTCAATGAATATTCATTATACAGACATGCCTATACACAGAAATATATACTTATCTATCAGTCTAGACATTCATATCTAGCAGACAGATAGATGAGTAAATGTTTATCTATCATATAGATAGACAAATGTCCATTTATTTCTGTGCATATGTATGTCCATATATATAAATATTCATTGGGTTGGGCCTCACATAATGTTAAACTAGCCACTAGTCTCCAATGAAGAAACTGACTAGAAAATCATCCCACGCCTTACTTCTGACTTAATTTTTAATAGTTATTTTATTAACACTGCTGTTGCTCAAAAATTATGAGTCAAATTGATGAAATACCTTTATATTTCTCAACCTATTTGATTTGAGTGCTTTGTTACCCACACATTGCCTAGAATCTGAGCATATGGCATACTTGAGTGGTGTAGCTTGTACAACCAGCCCACATCAACACGTGTACGATGTCGACTTCTTGCCTCCCTTTTACAACGTTATTATCTCTCTTTCTGCATAAGCTTTTTTTTTGTTTTTTCATTCTCCAATGTCTATATTTGTCATTTGATATGCTGTATCCAGTTGGTTATAGGCTGTTTCATTACATAACACTCGTGTGTTATGACATGTATACATGTTATACATGATTATGTCATGACGGCTATAGCTGTACCCGCCCCTGAGTGATTAAAGGAAAATTATTTTACAAAGATATCTCTCTGTCTGTCTGTCTCTCTCTCTCTCCATTCTCCTTCCCCCCTACATAAAAAGTAATACTTGTTAAACAGAATGGTTAATAATGATTCTCAGCTGCACACTTAACAAAAATATCATGTTTTCTTTTGCAATGACAAACAGTGGAAACATAAATCAAAAGGAATTATGGTGGGGAAACAAATATCATTTCACTGGTTTAATATAAAAGGCATAACTATACATTATCACAGTATCAGCTGTTGGCACTTTAACATTATAAATGCATATATTGGTATCTAAATCATCATACATTCCAGTGTGTGTGTGTGTGTGTGGTGTGTGTGTGTGTGTGTGTGGTGTGTTGTGTGTGTGTGTGTGTGTGTGTGTGTGTGTGTGTGTGTGTGTGTGTGTGTGTGTGTGTGTGTGTGTGTGTGTGTGTGTGTGTATGTGTATGTGTATGTGTATGTGTATGTGTATGTGTATGTGTATGTGTGTGTGTGGGTGTGGGTGTGGGTGTGTGGTGTGGGGTGGGTGTGTGCGCGTGCATGTGGGCGTGTGGGTGTGTGCGCGTGCATGTGTGTGGCGCGTGCATATGGGTGTGTGGGCGTGTGGGTGTGGGTGTATGGGCATGTGGGTGTGTGGGCGTGTGGGCTTCTTGGTGTGTGTGTGCATGTGTGTGAGCGTGCTTGTGTGTGTGTGTGTGTGTGCATGTGTTGCATATGGGTGTGTGAATTTATTAATAAGTGAGATAGTAAGAGTAAAGAGAAAACAGCAGATGACAGCACCATGTAGTTTATAAGTAAAATATGTGTAACAAAAAATGGAAGGGATTAAACCTGTATTTAAAAAAAAAAAGAACAGATAAGATATCTAAAAAAAATATAGTCATTACGGTTATAACGGCAATTCTCGCTAGTAGTAATATTAGTATAGCCGCTGCTTTCATTCATCTTGGTTTTGCCTCATCACCATGTACATGTGATATAGCCTAGTTTGGTGGGCAGCAGTTGCATTTATTGCATAATATCCAAAGAGAAGATGCAGCACTATGAATATGAGGAAAATGGAGTTGACAGCATAGTCCATAGGCAGAGGCCAAATTCCTGGAACAACCAGTAGAAAAACAAGGAGAGGAAGTTGCAAAAGGAGAGTGAGGAGCCAGCTGCCTGCCAATTCTGGGACCTGCAAAATGTAAAGAATTATTTTTAGTTTTTTAATACATTAGCCTGAGAAAGTCTGATTATACGTGGGACCTGTCAAATGTGACTGAAGAGTTATTGTAGGCTAACGGCCGGTTTGTTAAAATTCTGTAAGGCCTGACCCAGTGAATATTCATTATATAGACATGCATATACACAGAAATAAATGAATATCTATCAGCATATCTACCAAATAAATAGACAGATAGATAGAAATCCATTCATTTCTGTATATTTGCACCTGTACATATGAATATTCCTTGGGTCTGAGCTTGCACAATTTTTATCAAACTGCCCGTGTCTGAAGCACTTCTCTATGCACAACTTTATGCATAATAAAAAATATATATATAAAACAAATGAATGATAGGGAATACATGTGTAAAATCAGTTATAAATATATACAATAATAAACTAACCTTTTCTTCTAGATTTCCAATATGTCCTATATACAGGCGAATGACCTCAATCAGAGGAACTGCCACATATATGGCAACCAGGACAAACTGATATAAGTTGGACACATATTGAAACTGAAATCAATTTTATTAATTAATATATTTTCACTAAGTATGGATGTAATGTATATATTCTTACTCACTCACTCATTCATGCAATGAAACAAGTACATATTACATTGTTTACATAGTTATGCTTTTATTCAAACAAATACAAAAATCTCTCTACATAGTTACCTTCAGTGTTACCATGATCATTGAAGATGTTAACCAAAATGGGAAGAAAAGAGCTGAGAAGTAAAGTACCATTTGAAGAGGTAAACTTGATACGACCTCATTACCTGTGAGAAAGAACTGTCAGTTCCTATAAAAGAAAAATTGTTCTACTGATTGTAATTTCCATTCTAATCTCTTCTCATAACATTAGCATTTGGCAAATAAGGAATTATTTTTTCAAATGATTTTAGATTGTAGGATTTTTTTTTTCTTAATAATAATAATAATAATAATAATAATAATAATAATAATAATATAATAATAATAATAATTAATAATAAGTCCTTATTTTAGATCACTTGGTAGACATGTATTTACTGTTACCTGTAATCATTAGAAAACAAAGAAGCACTGACGAATAAGTGAAAAAGATTTTGAATATACTTATGGTCTCTGAATAGAGTGAAAGAGAGAACTTACATTTGTGTAATGTATTAATTTCTTCAAAAGAATATCAGATCTTGTTTTCACCTACTATTGCTTTTGGCTATCATAGTAAACTTTTACTATGACTTTAACTGAACTGGTCTATGTACTGGCATAGTATAAAATAAATGGAATTCTTTGAAATAAAGCAACATACCTTATTTCAATAGAATAACTATACATACAAGTGAGATTGCTAGATATGCTGGCAAGATGCAATGCTGGATATATTTTTGTGGAATCATATACATATGATGTCAGCATACTAAGAGGGGTGATCAGGCACAAAGTCCGGACTTTGTGATTTGCAAAGCCTGCCTGTTATGACTGTGGCCACCTATTTACATAACTATACATGTGATGCAAAACACTGGCACACTTATCAAAACATAATGCTCTTGGGCATCATTTCTGTCTTCAACTAATACTTCATCATGGATACATTTCCTAACTCCTTTAAAGCCCTTTCATAGTTACTGATATTTAGTGCTACTCATTCAATATGCATAGCCACTTATAAGTCAGAATAGTTGTTACAAAGCAAATCTAGATTTTAGGGAAACACATTTGCCTTATAAAAATAATTGTTAATAGTAAAGAAAATTTTAAAATATCTGGAGTGAGTATTAGAGGTCAAAGGTCATAACTTATTTAAACACAGCAAGAGGTTTTGGATGTCAGATACTGCTAGTAGGATACTCGTACATGTTTTCTGGTAATGAACTTCCCACCCTAACAATTAGGTCCCAAACATGTCTGAGAAATTGCTGAATTAACCTTTATCTAAATGCCTGTAATTTTATGAAACCTGTCATTTTGGGATTATCCTTATCTCTTTCAGCAACTAAAGTGCCATCTCACTTGCATTTTTTCTGCTAAATTTTGCATTTATGTATAAACTTTCCACATATAAATGGTCTGATTAGTGTACCACTGCTAGCAAACATTGTGCCCATGTACAACAAACATGACAACATCCATGTGAAATATTGAGAATCAAACAAGCATTCTCATGCATATTACATAAATTTAAAGAAATACAGTTATTTAAAGGAGACTACTATATTGGGTATATTTATGTATATATATATATATATATATATATATATATATATATATATATATATATATATATATATATATATATATATATATATACACATACATATTCTAAAACATTAGCTTATGTTTATATTAATCTCATTTATTTCATTCATCATTACAAACATTGCAGTAAAATAGATTTCCATAGCACATGATCAAGACGGCAATCAGTTATACAAAAACAGTTTCTAACATCTTCCTCTGGGAGGCAGAAAGCCTCATATAAATGTGGAAACACAAAAATTGACATAAAAAGTACTTGTCTGTTAGTGCTCAAGTATTCTTCCTCCAACATCATGTGTTTTAATTCTTTCACATAACTGGCAAGCCATAAACAAATTCCTTTTGCTGGACAATCTTTTCCCTATGTCAGTCTGTTCTACTTTTGGAATTACAAAATCTATAACCAGGACTGCATTGTCTTCAGGCCTAAACTATGAGGACTACTAATCGCCACAGATCAACAAGGCAACAGTATCATCCATTTTCTCCTCTAATATGCCCCCTCGGCCTTTCTAATGGTGCTTCCTTGCCATTCCAATTATGCTTCTTTGGCTTATATAAAAAGGTGACACTATAGGACGCTTAATTCAATACCGGTTGACTATTTGTAATGATATTAATAACAAATGGTACAAACTAGCTGCTCTAATAATATAGAGTTAGGCTCTTGTTGAATGTGAAATCATGTAAAATCTGATGATTATAGTGTGCTTACCTGCCCAGTGAGCTAAGGCACCTGAATATTAATCTTGAGTTCAGGATATCAAGCTTCTCATTATTATCATTGTAGGCATGAGAATATTAAGCAGTAGCTCCTACACTTGTGGTCTTTAAGCTTATACTTTTATTGACTAAATATTAAATAAATAATGCATAATTTTCCGATATCATTAATAAAAGGGTAATGTTTGCTGAAAAGACCACTATAAATACCAGGATAATGGCATTTATCTTAAAAAGGATTATCAGTCTCATCTCCCAAACAATTTATAATATCCTCTCAAATTCCATAAATAAATAAATAAATACACTTTTTACAGAAACAATCACATGGGTCATTTTTTATTATGGGCGACAGCTGAGGGGGGCATGAAATGTATGAGGGCAATTGCAAGTAAAATGTGAATAATCTTCACAGAATTAGTCCAGGAAAACAAAGAATCCTCCACATATTAACAGAAGAAAGAGAATCGAAAAGACTTTGCAATGCCCGTTTGCTCTCTCCTGCCATGAATATGTGGTGCATTCTTTGTTTTTCTGGGTAGGGGTTGGGAGGCAGCAGCCCCCTACTGGGGGATCACAGAGTCCACAGCCTCCTGCATTAGATAAAAAAGGGACTGAATTTTTGTATATTTCATATTTTACCATGCAAGTTCCCTAGTAACTTTCATGCCCTCCCCTGCTAGCAGGGTCAAGAATGTGGTGGTTTGGGAGGTTTCCACGCAATCATTTTATAAATTTGGAAACCACGGTGAGAGGAATCCGACGATACCAAAATCATGACCCGTTTGGTGGAACTATTAGAAAAAAAATACCACCACATGCCATTTCATGCCACTGACAAACAATTGTATGAATAAAAACTAAAATACGTACCATAAGAATTTTCCCCAAGCTGATCAAACGAGACACTTGGGAAAAACTTTCCGGTTAGACTCTCCACTGTACTGGACACCAGACGTCTAGCATTTTCATAATTATGAGCATACAATTTAGACATTTTGTTCCTTTGGCAGCTTAATTCTTCTTCTTCTTCTTTCTTCTTTTATAGGGTTTTAGACCATTTTTTTAGTCTATATTCCCTGGATCCTTTCTTGCGGTTTTTCTTTATCTTCAGATAATATCTATTATTCTTGATCTTTGTAGAAATATCTTTGTATGTCTTAAGATGTAATACTTCTTCACAGGATGTTGATTTGCTCCTGTAATTAATAAATTTAAGTCAGGGTTTTGTATTTCTATTTTGTTCAATGCTTGTATTAATTTTGTTCTGTATGAATTAAATCTCGGACATTGTAATATTAAGTGTTCTGGCGTTTCTTCTTGGTTACTACACCATCGGCACATAGGGTCTGCTTCTATTTTTAGTTTGTGTAAATGTTTTTTAAGTCTTGTGTGTTTTGTCATAAGTCTTGCAATGGTCACATCTATTTTTCTGTTTTGTGATCTTGTCCATGGTTGTGGGTTGTGATCTTTGATTAGATAATTTTTTTGTTTTAGTATTTCTTTTAAACTGTCTTTCCAGTTTTCTTGTTTTTTCATTTTTATTTCTCTTATTGTGTTTGTTGAATTTTGTGTCATGGTTATGGGATCTCTAATTTCATGAGCTTTTTTTGCTGCTTTGTCTGCAATTTCGTTTCCTTTTATATTTTTATGTGAAGGAATCCACTGTATTTTTATTTGTTTCTTTTGTGTGTTTAGTAATAGTAGCAATGATTGTATTTCATATGTCATATGTTTATATTTTCTTGGTTTGTAGTTTTTTATTGTTTGTATGGATGCTTGTGAGTCTGTTAATATTACTGTTTTCTGTAATTTATTGTTGTTTATATAAATTAGTGCTTGTTTTATTGCAAATAATTCTGCCTCTATTATTTCTGTATTGTTTGGCAATTTCCATAAGGTCGTAATGTTTTTATTTTGTATATATATGGCAGCTGTTGTTGAGACTGGTTCTTTTATTTTTGATCCGTCTGTGTAAATTTTTTGGTAATTTTGGTATATTGTATTTCTATGTAGTGAAAATGTTGTTGTATCATTTGATGTGGTGTGTTTTTATTCATGTTTTCCATGAAGTTTGTTTCTATGTCTTTTATGATGTCAGACCATGGAGGGATTGGGGAAATATTAGGGACTGTGTCTACTTTTAGTTTTACTTTCCATTTCTTACATGTTTCTATAACTTTATATAGAAGTGTTTTTTTGTCTTTGTTCGGTTTGAAGTTTTCTATGCATTTTATGGATAATTGTTTTATTGGTAGATGGTTTTCTTTTTCTAAATTTTTAATCAATTGAATGCATTCTAATTCTTTTATCCTATTTGTTATTGGCATTTGACTTGTTAAAGTTTGCAGTGCTATTATTGGAGTTGATCTGAGGGATCCTGTGGCAATTCTTAGTGCATAGTTTTGAATTTGTTCTAATTTTTTAGATTCATTTTTGTTTATTCCACTATATATTGTTACTTTTTATTCTATAATCGGTTTTATATATATATTAAAGAATTTTGTCAATGTCTCTCTGTTTGCTCCCCAACTCAGTGAGGTTAATTTTTTCATAATATTCATCCTATTCATCGATTTTGTTTTTACATATTCGACGTGTTTTTTCCATGTTAATTTGGGGGCATCGAATATCATACCTAATATCTTATGAATATTTGTGTATTCTAGTTCTTCGTTTCCTATTTTTATTATTGGATTTTGTTCTAGTTTTTTATTTGTGAAGCACATTACTTTACTCTTGGTTGGATTTATTTTAAGTTTCCATTTCTCTGCCCATTCTTTTATTTTGTTTAGACTTTGTTCTAAATTATTTTTTGCTTCTACTAGATTCTCGTTTGATGTTATTAGGGTTATATCATCAGCATAGATTACTTTATCAGTTTCCTTTGGGAGTTTTATGTCTGACATTACTAAGTTAAATAAGGTTGGGCTGATTGGAGATCCTTGTGGGACTCCATTTAATATTTTTCCGACAGCTGATTTTTTTTCTCCGATTTTAAATTTGAAAAGTTCTATTGCATAGGAAATTGTTTATCCATCTTATTATTTTGCCGCTTAATCCTATGTTTTTTGCTTTTATAGGATAGTTTCATGATTTACTGAGTCAAATGCTTTTTCTATATCGAGACATGTTATTAGGGCATATTTTTTTTCTTTAATTGCTTCTCTGATTTTCATTTCGATTATCTGTATTGCATCTATTGTGTTTCGATTATGTCTAAAGCCTATTAGGTCTTCATCTAGCTTATTTTTCTCTATCCACCAGTTTAATCTTCTTGTAATTATGTTTTCAAAAATTTTGCCTATGCATGGTGTTCTACTAATAAATCTATATGAGTTGGTTTTGGATGGGTCTTTATCTGATTTGTAAATTGGATTAATTATTGCTGTTTTTAGTTCTTGTGGGTAATTTCCTAATTCCCAATATTTATTAAAGTTTGTTAAAATTATTTCTATTATTTTGGGGGGGCATTTTTGTAGAATTCATATGTTATACAATCTGGCCCATATGCTTTCCCATTTTTTGTATTCTTATAGCGTATGCTAATTCTTCTAATGTTATGTCTTTATTTATATCATCCTCATTGTTACTATTTAATATTTCTTCTTTTTCTGTTCTTGTTAATAGTTTTTCTGTTTGTCTACTGGTTATGTTTTCATATTCTTTCCTAAATAGTTCTAGTTTTTTTGATATTTGGGTGACTGGGAAATTATTATATATCAGGGGGTAGTTACTTTTTGTTATTTTTCCTGTTTGTTTTTTTATGAAATTCCATATTTTTGTGGGGGTTTTAAAGTCTATAGAGATGCAAAATTTTTCCCATGAATTCCTTTTTTCTATTTCAATGACATGTTTTGCTTCTGTTACTAGTTTTTTATAATTTAGTCTGTTCTCTATGCTTGGTCTTTTCCTCCATTTATTATATGCCTTATTTCTTCTTTTTATTATTTCATTACATTTGCTATTCCACCATGGTTTATTTGGTTTATTATTTATTGTTTTATTACTGTATTTGAAAAATTTCTCTCCTTTTTTTAACAGTTCTAACAGTGTTTTATCGTCTCTATATTTACATTTATTTTGTTTAGTTCTGAAATGTATCTCTGCCATTTTCTGTGAAATTCCACTTTCTTTCTAAGTTTATTGAGTTTATTTGATAATTGTCTTCTTTTATGATTATTGGAAGGTGGTCGCTAGCTAGGTGTGGGCCTGTTGTAATTTCAAAATGATTTATCGTCGGTGATCCCAAAACCAGGTCTAATGTAGATTCTTTATTCGTTATTGGATCTACTCTGGTTATTTGTCCTTTTGGTGTTAGGAGTATAATATTATTTTGGTTTATCAATTTGACTAAACTTTTTCCTGTTACATTATTTAATTTATTGTTATTTGTGTTCCAATTTGGATGATGTGCATTGAAGTCGCCTATTATTAATTTTGGGTCTTGTAGTTGATCATAATAGTATTGAAATTCTTCTTCTCTAATATTATTACAAGGATTATATATTAATATCATATTTAGCCATTTTTCTTTATATTGGACTTTTACACCTAGGATTTCTATCCAATGTTGGTACATATCATTTAAATTTAGTTTTTTAAATTGCACGTCTTTCCTAATGCCTAAAATTAACCCTCCACCAATTTGATTCTTTCTGTCTTTCCTAATTATATCATAATTATTTATTTTAAAATTATCTTTATCTTTTAACCAAGTTTCGCATAATGCGATTACACCTGGGTTTTCTTTATAGATTAAATAATCTAATTCTGATTTTTTTCTATGGATAGAATGGGCATTCCATAGAATTATTTTATTCATTTATTAATCTAATTATTTGTTTTAAAATTGGGGTAAAATCTTTTGTTGTTTCAATTATTATTTCTAAAAAGGATTTCTTTGAATTTATATTGTTTATCAAATTTGTTATTAGCAACTCATTTAAAGTTAACCGTCTGCTCGATCCCTGTCGCGCAAGAGGTGTCGCGTTTCCCGTAACCGCTGGAAAAGATGCCTAAAGTTTAGACATCCTCTCCAGCGGTTACGGGAAACGCGATATATCTTGCGCGACAGGAATCGAGCAGACGGTTAACTTTAAATGAGTTGCCAGATGCATTCCTCCTACTTTGGATATTTCATGCATATTCGTACTTATATTCATCATCATCATCATGGGGGCTGACGCCGACGGGGGCGCATAGCCGCATCCACCCTTCGCTTCCACCTACGAGGATCCCTCATGGCTAGACGCCAGGCAGGGACTCGGCCCATCTCTAGTTCTTCACGGCAGGTTTGGTCGATCTGCCCAAGCCATGACTTCCTCGGTCGTCCCACAGGCCTCCTCCATCCAGGGTTGTCTCGAATAGAGACGACCTGATGGGCAGGATCATCCTGAGGAAAGCGAGCCAGGTGGCCGTATAGCCTGAGTTGGCGATCACGGATTGTCCCGCCAACAGTACCCCATGATCTGGCGCAAGGACCTATTACAAAAGGCTTCAAGACGAGCCTCCAAGGCACAGGACAATGACAAGGCTATTAGTCCAATAATCCTTGTTGGTATTCCTCTCAGCCTCAGGATCTCCCAAAGTGACTCCCGATGCACCGTATCGAACGCCTTCTTGAGGTCGATGTAGGCTGCAAGCAGCCCACGCCCGAACTCACGACGGCGCTCTACAATGACTCGAAGCGCGAGGATACGGTCTATTGTGGACTTACCAGGAGTGAATCCGGATTGCTCCAGTCTCTGGTGCCTCAGTAGATGGTCTCTGATACGTCTCAGAAGGATGTGGGCAAGAACCTTGCCTGGTACACTGAGCAGTGTGATGCCTCGGTGATTGCTGCAGTTCCAACGGTCCCCCTTCTCCTTCCAGAGAGGGATGACCACACCCCTCAACAGGTCAGGAGGAATGGAACCGGACTGCCAGATGGCAACCAGACCGCATGTAACCCCGTGCCATAGGTTCACCACCAGCCTTTAACAGTTCAGCTGGTATGCCGCAGATACCAGTTGCTTTACCACTCTTCAGCTTGGAAATCGCCCCCCTAACTTCAGTTAGGGAGGGAGGGTCCTCACTGATAGGTGGATTCGGCAGCGGGATCTCGACACTACCCGCATCCAAGTTAACTGTTGGTGGGTCAACCTGGTACAGCTGCTCAAAATACTCAGCCCAACGTCCCCGCACCGCAACAGGATGAAACCATCTGACCACTTACTGAGCGAACTGCTGTCACCTGTGAAGAGGGCTTGGAGTTCAGCTTTCTCAGGGCTTGGTATGCAGGACGAAGGTCATTTACTAAGAAATGGCCTTCTACCTCCTCTGCAAAGACTCCTAATAAACTGTTCCTTGTCCCTTCTTAACAGGGACCGAGTTCTGCGCATGAGAACGGTGCAATTCCCGATCCCCTGTTGACGAGCCGCACGACATGCATCAGTGGCTTCCAGTGTCTCCCGCGAGATGGAATTCTGTACTGCTCTCGGGCGTACACCAATCGTATCTTGAGCTGTATCAAGCGTTTCACGCTTAAAGGTATCCCACAGAAGAACAGGGTCTGTCAGACTGCCAAGCACTGCGAAACGATCAGAGATTGCCTCAGCAAACCTGCGGGCACACTCCCCCTCCCTCAGCCTGTCCAAATGAAACCCTAGGGTGATCATTTGACCGCTGGGGGTTTTGAAGTGGACCCGGAGGGTAGCCACAACCAATCTATGGTCAGTACCACAGAACTCAGCACTCCTGAACACCTGCAATTCTGAAGGATCCTCCAACGAGTGCTAACAAGTATGTGGTCGATCTCCTTGGCTGCGTTACCCGCATCACTGTACCATGTCCAGCGATGTGGGTCTGGGCGCTGGTACCAGGAGCCAGAAATCCTCAATTTCTGGGATCTTGCAAAGTCCCGGAAAAGGAGGCTATTCTCGCTACCGGCATCAGCTCCTGAACCATGGGGACCGACAGACATCTCATAGCCAGCTCGATCACAGCCAGATACTGCATCGAAGTCGCCCAGAACAATGCGAATATCTCGTCAAGGACATCTGTCTGCCACAGATGTAAGTTTGGCGTAGAACATCTCTTTCACGTCAAGTTTACAAACATCGTAGGAGCGTACACAGCAATAAGAGACATGAAGCCAAAAGAAAGCTTCAATCTCAATACCATTATACGCTCATCAACAGGAGTAACCTCTACTACCGAGGGCTGGAGTCTGCTGGAGACGGCAATGGCTACTCCCTGGAGATGGTGGCCATCGCTGCGGCCCGACCAATAGTAGGTGTAGCCACCTACACAGGTCATGCCGCTGCCAGGCCTCCTCACCTCCGAGAGAGCAGCCACCTCAACTCTCAGCCTCCCCAGTTCCCTCGACAGTAGAGGCAATCGATCATCCTGACGCAAAGAACGGACGTTCCAAGCCCCCACCCTAACTTCCCGCCTGAGGTTCAGCCTCTGGCAGTCGCTCCGGGGGATGCCACCTCTGCCACCCCCCACCGACGCCCCCATATAAAAGGGTGGCGGGTTGCGTGCCCCATCATCCACCTGTGGGGTTCCCGAGGGCTTTCCCCCACAAGCTTCACTCTGGGCTGGCGGCCACCAGAGCGCAGGCGAGACGGGTAGTTCCCGTTCCCAGCCTGCGCTCCAGCAGTCGCCCTCCCAGCAGGGCCCACAGTCCGCCTCACTAGCTGGGTGGTACTTATATTGGATATCTATAACACCGCACTATCCACCATAAGATATCAAAAGCCATCTTGGATATCATATTCCAAAATACTGTTTACCTGTTGGAAAAATAACCAGTACAGTAAAATAACAAGTCGTCAACCGCGAGCATTCCTATTATGTCACAGAAATGGGCGGAGCTTAAAGGCCTGTCTCGCCTCCGATCACGAGACACTTTTGTGTCTCGTGATAGGTGTGGAGCGTTTCGCGACACCCTAGTTGCCACCCGAAAAGATGCCTACTAGTTTGGAACTACTATCAAGTTCGTAGTGTTGCCAATTCGTAGAATTTTAGGTCAGAACGCGGGAAAATGGCGGCTTATGGCAACTGCACGAGGAACATTTCTTTTCATCTCAGCGGACTGTTCAAAACATTTAAAAACTCAGGCAGTATTTAAAAAATAATATAGCTGTCAAATAATAAATGGTGCATCAAAGTATACAAATTTTTCTGTTAACCATGTTCCTTATAAATATTGTAACCCAAAGGCGATGTTTTCATGGTGTAGAAAAACAAAATCTACACTAAACATTCAGCTTTCTTTTTGCGATAATAAGATTTAAAAAAAAAAATGGAATGTATATATTTTACTATATACTTTAGGCATGACAGCCTTAGAGACATCCAAGAATATATTTTTAAAAAGCAACAAGAACCAACATTGCGGCAAACTCAGAGAATTACTGGAACTACTCTAAAACACCGCCACCATCACCATAAGCGGCGGTAAGTGTTATTGATCATACAGCAGTGTAATTTGCGAATTTGTAAACTTTTGCGAGTCAAGCAAGAAAAATGTTTAATGTTTGAAACAGATAAATGTGCTAGACATCAAAGGCCATATAGCACTATGGTAAAGTATTGTGTCGGAATGGGCAAAGGAGTGATTACGATAAATGTGTTAGATGCCAAAGGTTTGAGAGTGTTATTGTTAGCAAATATAAAATAGTTATACATTGAAAGACGATAGAAAATGCTGTACTTTTCAAAGAAAATTAGTAGTTTAGCGAAGTCTAATGTATATTGAATTAGCGTTGTTTTTTCAGTTTATCATGGTGTAGCGTGGTAAAAGTGTGGGGGGCCCCGACACTCACCCTACTACAGGAGCTGACGAGTGATCCTCGGACCGTTGAGATGTGGACATGGGCATGGGGAAAAGCCGGCCATTTCTACCTCCTACAGGAGTGGACACCAAATACTGTTCATGTGCACGGCTTTAATTATGAAAAGCAGTACTGCTACTACAGCCTCGGAAACACAGATGAGGCAAGGACAATCACTGGTAAAACAACGGTAGTATCACAGTATATCACAGCACGAGAAAATCAGGAAAATCAGGAGTCCTCCCCAGCCCACACTCACACCTCTCTACAGTCAAAGTCACCCGCCAACTCCCCTCTTTGGCGACTCCATGGCGCGTCACGGAAGTACGCCAAGTACCCAAATTGTAAGAGGTTTGAGTGTGGGCTAAACGAGCTCCTATCGGACCCAAAACTTACAATATGTCTTCTGGAAGTGGGGCGTTTAGAAAAAGGGCAAGGACTTGCCAAAAGGGCATCAGAAAAAGGCATTAAAATAAAAAGTGAGCACCCCAAGTGGGCAACACGACCACCCGTTCGCATAAGCGAATCCATGAATCCGGGGCTGATGAAGGAGTTTAGACCTTGGAGGCGAAGGTGGCAGATGACCCAACGAAGGCCCAAATGCCAGAAAACTTTCTCAGGAGATCTGACAACCATAAAACGACACCTGGTAAGATATATATATATATATATATATATATATATATATATATATATATATATATATACATATATACATATATATACATATATATATATATATATATATATATATATATATATATATATATATATATTGGGGGTGCTTCATGCGCAGGGTGGTGTGAAGCGATGGAGTGGTAGCCTAGTTAGTGTTAAGAGCTTTTGCATGCCTTCTCGCTTACAGCTGCCACTGCTGGCTAGCCTCGTGCGAAAAAGGGAGCAGCTCTGCATAAGCCTCCCCCTGCCAGTACATAGCCTCTCCATCATCGAGACTTCCTTCAGTGCTTCCTTGTGGCCTCCCATGGAAACTGGGTACCTTGCAGTTCCAGGCTAAACTGAGGGGGATCTCGGAGCAGCAAGAGGCCCCAGAGGTTCAGGAGCATGGCCCACCGGCGTGTGAACACACACTGGCCCTGTACCAACTCCTTCCCCCAAGCCCCCTGGGGTTAATGGGAGGCTCGGGGGAGGTGGGCCTTGCCAGTCCTCCTCCCCCCAGATATAACCAAATCGGCAGTGCTTGAAATAAATGGAAAGGCTGGGAGGAGGGGAAAAGTCCCTCCCACCCAGCAAGTGAGGCGGACTGTGGGCCCTGCTGGGAGGGCGTCTGCCTGAGCGCAGGCTGGGAACGGGAACTACTCGTCTCGCCTACGCTCTTGTGGCCGCCAGCCCAGAGTGAAGCTTGTGGGGGAAAGCCCTCGGGAACCCCACAGGTGGATGATGGGGCACACAGCCCGCCACCCCCTTTTATATGGGGCAGCGTCGGTGGGGGTGGCAGAGGTGGCATCCACCTGGAGCGACTGCCAGAGGCTGAACCTCAGGCGGGAAGTCAGAGTGGGGGCTTGGAACGTCCGTTCTTTGCGTCAGGATGATCGGTGCTTCTACTGTCGAGGGAACTGGGGAGGCTAAGAGTTGAGGTGGCTGCTCTCTCAGAGGTGAGGAGGCCTGGCAGCGGCATGACCTGTGTAGGTGGCTACACCTATTACTGGGGCCGCGCCGCGATGGCCACCATCTCCAGGGAGTAGCCATTGCCATCTCCAGCAGACTCCAGCCCTCGGTAGTAGAGGTTACTCCTGTTGATGAGCGTATAATGGTATTGAGATTGAAGCTATCTTTTGGCTTCATGTCTCTTATTGCTGTGTACGCTCCTACCGATGTTTGTAAACTTGACGTGAAAGAGATGTTCTACGCCAAACTTACATCTGTGGTAGACAGATGTCCCCAGCGAGATATTCGTATTGTTCTGGGTGACTTCAATGCGGTATCTGGCTGTGATCGAGCTGGCTATGAGATGTCTGTCGGTCCCCATGGTTCAGGAGCTGATGCCGATAGTGAGAATAGCCTCCTTTTCTGGGACTTTGCTAGGTCCCAGAAATTGAGGATTTCTGGCTCCTGGTACCAGCGCCCAGACCCACATTGCTGGACATGGTACAGTGATGTGGGTAATGCAGCCAATGAGATTGACCACATATTCGTTAGCACTCGGAGGATCCTCCTGAATTGCAGGGTGTACAGGAGTGCTGAGTTCTGTGGTACTGACCATAGATTGGTTGTGGCTACCCTCCGGGTCCACTTCAAAACTCCCCAGCGGTGAAATGATCACCCTAGGGTGTTTCATTTGGACAGGCTGAGGGAGGGGGAGTGTGCCCACGGGTTTGCTGAGTCAATCTCTGATCGTTTCGCAATGCTCGACAGTCTGACAGACCCTATTCTTTTGTGGGATACCTTTAAGCGTGAAACGCTTGATGCAGCTCAAGATACGATTGGTATACGCCCGAGAGCAGTACAGAATTCCATCTCGCAGGAGACTCTGGAAGCCACAGATGCATGTCGTGCGGCTCGTCTGACAGGGGATCGGGAATTGCACCGTTCTCATGTGCGCAGAACTCGGTCTCTGTTAAGAAGGGACATGGAACAGTTTATTAGGAGTCTTGCAGAGGAGGTAGGCCATTTCTTAGTAAATGACCTTCGTCCTGCATACCAAGCCACGAGAAAGCTGAACTCCAAGCCCTCCTCAAAGGTGACAGCAGTTCGCTCAGTAAGTGGTCAGATCGTTTCAGATCCTGTTGCTGTGCGGGAACGTTGGGTTGAGTATTTTGAGCAGTTGTACCAGGTTGACCCACCAACAGTTGACTTGCATGCGGGTAGTGTCAAGATCCCGCTGCCGGATCCACCCATCAGTGAGGACCCTCCCTCCCTAACTAAAGTTAGGGGGGCGATTTCCAAGCTGAAGAGTGGTAAAGCAGCAGGTATCTGCGGCATACCAGCTGAACTGTTAAAGGCTGGTGGTGAACCTATGGCACGGGGGTTACATGCTGTCCTGGCTGCCATCTGGCGGTCCGGTACCATTCCTCCTGACCTGTTGAGGGGTGTGGTCATCCCTCTCTGAAAGGGGAAGGGGGACCGTTGGAACTGCAGCAATCACCGAGGCATCACACTGCTCAGTATACCAGGCAATGTTCTCGCCCACATCCTTCTGAGACGTATGAGAGACCATCTACTGAGGCACCAGAGACTGGAGCAATCCGGATTCACTCCTGGTAAGTCCACAATAGACTGTATCCTCGCGCTTCGAGTCATTGTAGAGCGCCGCCGTTAGTTCGGCCGTGGGCTGCTTGCAGCCTACATCGACCTCAAGAAGGCGTTCGTTCGTTCGGGAGTCACTTTGGGAGATCCTGAGACTGAGAAGAATTCCAAAAAGGATTATTGGACTAATAACAAGCCTGTATACTGGTACTGAAAGTG